TTCTTTGTAGTGTCTTTATCTGGTTTTGGAATTAAAATAAGGCTGGCCTTGTAGGATGAGCTTGAGAGTCTTCCCTCCTCTGAAATTTTTTGGAATACTTTGAGAGGAAGACGTGTTTGTTTTTCTTTGTTTTTTGGGGGAAAACTCACCCATGAAGCCATCCTGTCTAGGACTTTTGCTTGTTGGAAGTTTTTGACTACTGCCTCTGTTTCATTAGTCATAATCTGTCTGTTCAGAATCTCTTATTCTTCCTGATTTAGTTTTAGATGACTGTATTATATAGGAATTTATCCATTTTGCACAAATTGTCCAATTTGTTTCATGTAGTTGTTCATAACATTTTCTTACAATCCTTTGTTTTTCTGTGGTGTCAGTTGTTACGTCTCCTCTTTCATTTCTGACTTAACTTAATTGGGCCCTCTCTCTACCTTTTTTTTTTTTTGATGAGTCTCATTAAAGGTTGTTAATCTTGTTTATCTTTTCAAAGAACCACCTCCTAGTTTCATTGCTCTTTTGTATTTTTTAGACTCTATTTTGTTTATTCCTGCTCTGATCCTTATTATTTCCTTCCTTCTAATCACTTTGGGCTATATTTGTTGTTCTTTTTCAATCATGTAAGTATAAATTTAGTTTAGGGGTTTTTTTTTAGATTTTTCTTGTTTCTTGAGATAGGTCTATAATGCTATGAATTTTTCTCTTAGAACTGCTTTTGCTGTATGCCATACATCTTGGGTTGTTGTGTTCTCATGTTCACTTGTTTCAAAATATCTTTCGATTTCTTCCTTAATCTCATTGTTAACCCATTCATTCTTTAATAACATGTTATTTAGCCTCCATGTTTTTGTGTGTTTTTTAGTTTTTTTCTTGTGATTGATTTCTAGTTTTATACCATTATGGTCCAGAAGATATTTGTTATGATTTCAATCTTCTTAAGTTTATCAAAACTTATTTCATGTCCTAAAATGTGGTCAATCCTAGAAAATGTGCCAGGCACACTTGAAAAGAATGTATATTCTGCTGCTTTGAGGTGAAATGCTCTGAAGATATCAAATAAATCCATCTGACCTAGTGTGTCATACAAGGCCATCAGTCCCTTGTTGATTTTATTTTTGAAAGATCTATCTATTAATGTCAATGGTGTGTTAAAATTCCCTACTATGACTGTATTGCTGTCGATCTCTCCCTTTACATACATCAAGATTTGCTTTGCATATTTAGGTACTCCTATGTTGGGTGCAAAAAATGTTTATAAGGGTTAAATCCTTTTTAAATTGTTCCTTTCATCATTACGTGGTGTCCTTCTTTGTCTCTTTTTTTCCCTCTCCATTTGAATGAAAGATCTTTTTTCATCTCTTTACTTTTAGTCTGTGTATATCTTTCATTTTGAGGTGGGTCTTTTGTAGACAGCATATAACCCATCTGGGAAAAGTCCAGCCATTGTTACTATAACAAGAATGATTTGCATGACATCAGTGTAACCTGGTAGCCAAATAGAGTAGACTGGAATGCACATGAGTGAACAATGACAACTTCTGTACTAGTCAGTGGGGATGGTAGACACCATTGAGTGAACATGTGTACTGTGTGGCCATTGCATTCAAATGACTGAGTGAGTAGAACAATGAATCTGCATCAAATTTTGTGTTAAGCTTTAACATTCCTCTGTGGAACTATTCAGATGATTCAGAAGGTAGTAGTTATGGGTAACTGATGATTGGCAGTTTCATTATGACAACATGCCTGCTCATGCATCACATCTCATGCAGAGATTTTTGACGAAACATTGAATCACCCAGGTGACTCAGCCTCCCTACAGCCCAGATTTGGTACCCTACTACTTCTGGCTTTCCACAAAACTAAAATCCCTTTGACATGGGAGAGATTTCAGAACATTGATGAGATTCAGGGAAATAGGAAAGGGGCAGCTGATGGCAATTGGGAGGACTGTGTGAGGTCCCAAGGTGCCTACTTTGAAGGGAACTGAGACATCATTGTCCTATGTATAATGTTTCTTTTATCTTGTATCTTCTTCATTAAGTGTCTCTAGATTTCATATTACATGGCTGGATACTTTCTGGATGACATTGGATATATGGGTCTTGTTTTCTTATCCATTCTGCTACCCTATCATTTGACTGGAGTATTTAAGCCATTTATACTTAATATGATTATTGATAGGTATGTATTTATTGCCATTTTATTCTTTTAACTATGTTCCTCTGTTCCTATTCTTCCTCCTCTAACTCTTGCTCCTCCTCCTCTTCCTTCTTAAGGAAGACTCTTAACATTTTTGTAATACAGTTTGGTGGTAACCTCTTCTACCTTTTTCTTCTCTGGAAAGCTCTCTATTTCTCTTCAATTTTAAATGATAGCTTTGTTAAGTAAAAGTAGTCTTCATTTTAGGTCCTTGGTTTTCATGGCTTTGAATATTTTACAACAATTCCTTCTGGCCTGAAATGTTTCTGTTGAAAAATCAGACGACAGTGTAATGGGAACTCCCCTGTTCTTAGCTAACTGCTTTTTTCTTGTTGCTTTTATGATTCTCTCTTTGTCTTTACCCTTTGCTGTTTTAATTATGGTGTGGGCCTCTTTGGAGGTCACAACTCTGTTTTGCAACTCTTGCACTTCCCGAACTTCTGTGTCTTTTTCCTTCACCGGGTTTTGGAAGTTTTCATTAATGATGTCTCCAAATATGTTCTTGATCCCTCACTTTCTCTCTTATCCTTCTGGTATCCTTATCATGCAGATGTTGTTATGCTTCATATTATCCCACAGGTCCTTTAAACTATCATAATTTTTGTTAATTCTTTTTTCTTTTTGCTGCTCTGATTGGGTGTATTTTTCCTACCTTTTCTTCCAAATCAGTGATTTGATCCTCTGCATCATCCAACCTATTTCTTATTCCTTCTAGTGTATTCTTATTTCCAATACTGTAGTCTTCATTTCTAACTGGTTATTTTCAATGCTTTCTATGTTTTTTTCACTAACTATATTCTTATGACCATATTTTTAAATTCTGTATTTGATAAATTGCTTGCCTCCATTTCATTTAGCTCTTTTTCTGAAGATTTCTCCTGCTCTTTCATTTGGTGGATGTTTTTTGTCTCCCCATTTTGACTATCTCTTTGCATTTGTTTCTGTATATTAGAGAGATCTGCTATGACTCCCAGTTTTGTTAGGTGATCTAATGTAGTAGGTGACCTGTAGGGTGCAGGGGTGCAGTCTTCTTGATCTCATGTGCTGGGTGCCCCAAGAATAGTCCTTGTATGGGTTATGTGGGCTCTTGTGTTGTAATTGAGTCTAGTTTTCTATTGCCCCATTCATGTGTGAGATTGATCCTCAGGCTGACTGACTATGAAGCTCTACCCCAACCACAGCCTGCAAGCTGCTGTACAGGTGCTTACCACATGAGGCAAAATTTACCTCAGCAGGATCTGGTGCCTGAAGAGATCTCCTTTTGGATATTCAGCTTATGAAGCTAATTGGATCCTGCTCTGATGTTGTCTGAAGCTGATCACTGAGTTTTTTGGTCCTGGGCCTTTTGGGAGAGGCTGTGGTGCATACCAATGTCATATGTGGCATGCGACTGGTCCAGGGCAACCTGACTGTAGTTACAAGTGATCTATAGTTGTGGCTTCCTCTGCTGAGACTGGGTGTGTGTAGGAAAGACCAAGCTGTGCACCAAACCTAGCTTTTAACAGTACTAGACCCAGGTTCAGGTCAACAAAAGTCCCAAGATGCCCCCAAATTCACCTAACCTTCCTTTACCTGCTGGCTGCCTATTAGGCTTAGTCACTAAATGAGCCGCTGGTTGTGTTCAACCAGCACTAGGTGTATTCACAGTGAGTCACCAGGTAGGGGCAAGTGGAGTTCACCAGACTGATATAGGTTCTAACTTGGTGCCAGTGCTGGGTCTGAGGCCACTTAGCAAATGTCCCCAGGTATACCAACTGAAGTTGCCACCCACTGGGTGCTCGTATGCCTTTGTGTTGGGACAGGGTCTCAGGGAGTCATCAGTGTGAGGCTAGCAAAGTTTACCAGAAACAAGCAGACTAAGATTTGACTGTATGAAAGGAAGGTTCTGCTCTGGTGGTATGCAAGGGAAAAATGACCTGTGTCCTAGAGCCACATACTTCAGTCTGTCTGAGATTCTGCCAGGAGAGTAATTATCTATAAACAGGATTTGTACAGCTTTTTGTTGCCTTAAGCCTATCAAGGGAAAATCTGGGGTACCTACAGTTCCTACGCACTGTGTTGGGGGCATTACTACATTGTGATCTGCTCATCCTGCTTATGTTATATAAAAGAATGTATGTTTGCTTTTCTAATTGTTGTTTGAATTAGTGATAATTTTTTACTAATATGCATATGTTTTCTATTTCCTCCTATGGCCAATGACAAATAGAATTATTCAATTCAATGGATAGTTACATAGTTGAAGAAATAAAGGTTTCTGGATGGGTTAGTGTGCTCAGATTTCTGCTCTCAGTGAGCTTAAAATACTCTAGAAGCATTATATATATATATTTATAAATTATATATATTTATTTATATAATTTTATATACATAAACTTATAATGATAATATAACCCAAATAAAATAAATGTTAAATAAGAATTATATGAAATTCTATTGATTAAGGGCAAGAAAGCTTAAATAAGTGGTTGTCATTTGAACAGATAAGATATACTGGAACAGAAGCCCAACAGGGTGTTAAAACTGTGGGTTTAGACAAAGGAAGAAATTCCTAACTAAAAGAGGTATTAACATATCTGTTAAATAGGACTTTTTAAAACTACACTCACTTCTGTGATGCCACCATGTCATCAGTGTGTTCTATTTGTTGGGGACAACAAAGCAAGGGAAAACAATGGAGACTAATCTGAATCTTTCACAAGTTTTAAAGCCCCTTAAAATGAACAACTGTCAATATCAGATAGTTCTACTCATACTACTAAATAAGGTCTTTGATTTTTATTTCTGTTTCTTCCCCCTTTCAGGATGCTTTTCAGGAAATAATGATCACTTTTTGGCACTTCATCATAAGAAGAGTGGGAAGCCAGCATTCCTTTATCACCATTCACAAGACATTGAGAAGAGCCTGGATATAGCTCCACAAAAGATGTATAAACATTCCTCTTCTGAAGCTCAAATAAGTAAACACCACACAATTGTTAATTCAGCATTTCCTAGACCTGCATATGATTCATCTCTCAATCTGTTGGCTGCGGCTGGTCAAGATCTCGAAGTGGAAAACCTTCCAATCCCAGCAGCAAATGTAATAGTGGTAGTAAGTATTGCACTTGACTCATGCTGATGCATTCATTTGTGGCTGATGTTGAAAAAAACCTAATGATGAATAATTATCTTTGGATTTCAGTGATATTTATTTTTACCACAGCACTTCTCATTCCCTAATATTTCCTTTTTGTTACTTGATTATTGTCTTTTGACTTACCTTTGAATTTGAGGAGCCCATGAAATAAAAAATTTTGCCTGCCCCTGGCCAGGTAACTCAGATAGAGTGTTGTCTTGATATGCCAAGATTGCAGGTTTGATTCCTGGTCAGGACACATACAAGAATGAGTCAATGAATGCACAAATAAGTTGAACAACAAATCAATGTTTCTCTCTCTCCCTCTCCCTTTTCCTCTCTCTCTAAAAATCAATTTAAAAATGAAAGAAATCTTGTCTACATCCTCTGTACATAGCACAGTGCATGGTACAGAGTAGGTGTTTAATAAATATTTGAATTAAAATTTGCTTTAGGAAGGCCTTACAAGTATGGCATATTATATCCTGCACTGAGCCTCCTTTCTTCCATGAAAATCTCTTCTAAGCAGATATGCTTTAATATTTTTATATAAATAAATAATACTTATTAAAGATCTTCTGTTCACTTGACTGAAATTGTAAGAAATGAAGAGCCCACTGAAAGGGAAGAAGTGTATTAGGTGGAGGGTGGTTTTCTGTCACTGAAGTCAATAAAATCGTTTGGGAGGAATTAGTGGATAATATTCTTAATATCACTGAATAAACACTGTTCTTATTAGTCAAGGTGGTACAAAGGTCCCATTCCTTGTATTCTTAGGATATGTAATCCAGGCCAGAGGTTCCCAGTGTGTGGAAATATCATAGTTTCAATATATGCAGAGGTCGATCCACTATTTAGACTATCAATCATCCCTTTCAAGTTTAAAACCACTATAGGAGGCTCCACATTAAAATTACAAATCATTAACTAAATGGTTGTTATTGCATTTATGCCCCAAAATATAATCAAATATGTTGACTTTTAAGGCCATGATAATTCAATGAAGACATGTTTGCATTTTGGCAATCTCTTTATGCACCAAAATGTAATGACATTTAACAAGCTTTTTTCCCTTTTCTTTATTTTTTTATCTGCTACATATAGGTACTTTAACTAATATTAAGAATCAACAGTCCATTTATTGATGTTTCCAGTTAGCATACATTGAATATTTATTGTGATCCAGTCTTTATTTGAGATATCTAGAAATTGAGGCAAATGAAATGGCTCTGCTTTTGCTTGAGAAATGTCTGGAAGGGAATGTCAGTAATTCAATAAATAACATAAATTGAGAACACAAGATAAGCTCTTAAGAGAAAATATGTGGGTCATTTGCCTTTTGAAATACATTAACAAATTCTCTGCATTTACATGAGTAACAGATGTTCTGAAGGTGAAAGCCATGTATTCAGTGAAGATAAATATGATGTTGATGATGTCGCTGTATCTGGATATGCCTGTGATAATGCTAGGGCCCATGGGAGATATTTCCTGTAGTAATATCATATACCCATAGTCATCAACTCTTAAAGTCACTGTAAATTATGGTTCAAGAGTTTTGTCCTATCTTATAATGTCATGTAGTGTCTAGTTCATTTAATTATATGGAGGATAAAAGGCATCAATAAGGAATTTTGGCATGTCATTTCACTTTTTGCTTATTTGTGGTTTGGAGAGTCATGAAAAAGCTATGTTTTTTCTTTTGGGTGATGATTACAAAGAGGTGATAGGCTATTTCACTGCATTAGCCTTCCTTAACCTCTCTTGATCTAAGTTCTAACCATTTGTGGCTTTGATAGTTTGCAACAACTGCTAGTGCTAATGTTTCCTGTAATCCACTTACATTACTGATGTACATGGTGATTTAGTGGGAAAACCTGGGAAGTGGGATTATTTTGAAATAAATCAATAATGTTCAGCTTACTCAAAAAAACAGAGGGTCAACATTCAGTCAAGTATCAGCTGGTTTGAAGGTTCATCTATCCAGAAAAGACATTTAATAATGGAGTGCAGATGATGAAAGGGAGATATTCTGGTGACTAAATGACTTTGATGGAGTAATTAATGTGTGCTTGTGTGACTAGAGGGTATGTGTTTATATACATACATACATGTATGTATATATACATATGATTATAAACATGTATACATATGTATGTATGTATACAAACACGTATATAAATATAAATATATATGTATATATATTTATGTATATATATTTATATATATATCACAGATAATATTTTGCTTGAGGAATATTGCAATGGTACCAAAAAATATTTTTTTGATTACTTTCTATAAAAATGAGCAATGATGATAAGTATAATTTCTTAAATTAAGCAAATTATTGGGACTTTTCCCAGCTGGAATAAAAAACCATTTCCAACCTCCAAAATATATATGTGATTTCTAAACCTTCCTAGCTCAGAGGGAGAGATAACATTTTTACTTTTACATTTCTCTCTCTTTTTCTCTCTCTCTCTCTTTCTCTCACTTCTGACATCATTAAGATAGTGAGTTTTAGAAGGAGATATTTAACCAGAACATGAAAGATGCATATGTCCCTCTTCCTTTTCTGATTCCTAATTGTATCCACAAAGCATTTAATAGGAGCATTTGTGTACAAATGAATTTTTTCCTTTTATTTTATAATTAGGAATATTTCTTTTATAATTAGGAAAATCTATAGTTTATTTACTCCAAGGAGAGGACAGCATAGTTAAAATGTTTATCCCAAAGAATGATAACTGTGCTCCTGAAGCTTAATTAAGAAGCTGTTAATAAGATTTTTGTACAAATTCAATGTAGAAGGAAGGTGAATATCTTCAAGGTCAGTGCTGTGATAGAAGCCAAAACAACAACAATGGCTTTCACCAAATGTGTGCTGGAAACTTTGTAGCTCTTATAACTGGACCTCCAAGATATTCATCAGGGCACATGGCCACAACATCAGGAAGGAGGGAACCCTGGATCGTCAATGGTACAATGGAAGCAGCTGCAGGTCTTTCCAGTTCAGCAAGATCAGCAGAGATTGTTAAATGAAGAGTATTTCAATCTGGGAAAAATATGAGAAAACTGGGGATTAGGAAGACTTTGAAATATAAATGGTGGAATATAAATGGTTTACTCCAGAGGATGGAATTGAGAAAAGGAAAATAAAATAAAGAGAAGGAAGAAGGAGGAAAAGGAATATGGGGAAGAGGAGAAGGAAAGTAAGAGAAGGGGATGGGCAAAGGAGGGAGGGAAGGAAGGGGGAATGGGGTAGGAAGGCAGGGAAGAGAAGAAAGATGGTATAGTGTCTGTTCTTAGGGCAATGGAAAGACTTCTGTGAGCACATAAGAGTGTGATGGGGAGTTTCCAGGAGGTTGAGGTGGTCTTTGTGAGATTGCTAGAGTCCAAACACTTCTTGTCTTGCTCACCACTTGCCCAGCTCAGCACACGGACAGACATTGTCTTGTTTTTCAACACAGAACTTTTTTTGCAAATATTTTTATCAGATAGTTGATTTAGATAACAACTAAAGCCAAAAACTTTGAATAACTCTGATTTTCAGTTACATCCTGAACTCTGGTTGTTACACCTTGAACCTCAGCTTGGTTCTGCTGTTGACCAACTTTTGAGTTTCATCCTACAGGGAAAGAGATAATTCCTAGCTATGATTTGAAGGGCTTTGAAAATCCACCCTTCTCATTGCCTTGCCACAGTAAATAAGTTTTGTATTGTTTAGTGCATTATATCATGTCTATAAATAATTTTTGGACATTTTTTTCAATAGAGAAATTGGTTTAATTATAATTTTGTATTTTTGTGGTGAATGTTTCAAAGGGCAGGTTTAATCAGCATAGCATCCACTAAAATTCTGCTATGTCAGGAAAGACTTATTAGTTAGGAATATTGTTTTACAAGTGACAAGAAATGTAATCCAAACTAGAGAAAATTTTGTGATTCAAGTAACATTTCTGTACCCTATCTAGCTATAGGTATGATCGGATCAAGGGCTCAAATAATCAATAAGGATTGATCTCCCAATTCTGCTTCCTCTGGGGTGACTTCATTCTCAGACCGGGTCTGTGCTCTTCATCTCAACTTGGTTTCCTAAAACTCCTGGAGCTTCATCTTTGTGGGCTCCTATTCAGTGGGAAAAACTGACTCTTTCACAGTCTCATTAATATACTGGGCATTCCTATGACTAGACCAGTCTAAGTGAAGTATTTGCTTCATCCTTGAATAATTTGTGGCCGAGTGATAAAATTAGGCTAATTATCTAAAACCTAAACAGCATGCCTCACCCCTAGAGCATCCCTAAACACCCATAAGCTGTATATAGTAGGAGAGGTCACCTGAATAAAAACTGTGACATTGTTAACACCCAAAGGAAGAACGGATGCCAGATAGCAGCTTAAGGTAACCTAAAGCCAGAGTATTTGGGTTTTTTGTTTGTTTGTTTGTTTGTTTGTTTGTTTTCATGAAATTTTTTATGTCTCTCTATCCTGGTCCAGGCCCCTTTGTGACCCTTTCTTCCCTGTAGAATTAATGTGCTGCTGGAGTCAGCTGGAGAGAGATGCCACCAAGCCTCTGTCATTGGGAGAATGTGGGGAAGGCCATGTTCCATAAAGCAGACTGTTAAGACTTCAGTTTTCAAGACACAATAGTCCCTTCAAAAAATGAGGACTTACCACTTAGCTTCAGGAGTTTGATTCTTGTACAAAAAGAGTGACAAAAGTCATAGTCTGAGTTCTCCAGCAGTGGCAAATTCATTCTGACATAGGAGAAAATTAAGGTGCTTGGGCAATGTCCTGATATCTAAACTATTTGCCAATGAGAAGGACCCTGATTTAGTGCAATCTGTTGGACCCAGGATATTATGTTGCTAGAATGTCTAAATTTTGCAAAAAGCACTGTAGCCTGTATACTTCTTTATGGTAACTGCATATGGGATGGGGAGCAAAAGGAATGGCTTGAGCTATAGGGGAAGC